TGTTACTGGTAGTTTCGGTCGTGTTCAATTGAGAAAGTATTTTTTTAAAATACGCTTGTTGTCTGAATTACAATAGTCTTGGAAATTCGGCAGTTTTTCTCTTTTCACGAATGTTAAATTTTAGTCTACCTTGGATCAAGCTGTATAGCGGATATATTTAATTTCTTCCTCAGTAGCAAGCAACCTTGGCTTCTTTTCGTTGCAACACAATTAGGACTTTGTGTTTTAGTTTTGTTTCATTTTACGCGTTCTTTCTTGGTTCAGATAAATGTTACTAACCTATTCGCAGATTCATAGCCGTGCTTTAATAATCCCAGCGTTTTGTTTGTTTTCATTTCGCAGCAAAAACGTGAACTGATAGTATTTCGTTATATTTCAGAAGCGTATTTTTTTCGAATGATCTCCTGATGTCACTCACCAGTCCAAATTTTACCGGTGTTGCTGCTACATTCTTCTCCTCCAACATTCATCGTTTAGAATCGGCCACCGGCTGTTTTGTGTGCCTTCAGTGCGGCGCGAGTGAGTGGAAAGGTTCATGGAACCCTGACCACTTTATCGCTCACATAAACAATGCCCATCGGACCCTCGAGTCGTTTTCTTGTATATTTTGTGGTTTGGATTGGCCCAGGGACTGCTTCGTCGCCCATGTATCAGGGCATTTTGCAGTTGGTGGTGTCCGGCCAGCCCAGCTTTATTCTTGCCCTGCATTAAAACATTCCTCCCTATGCTCTTTTCAAACGAACAGCATCCAGTGTCTCAGGTTGCATCTCTCTTCCGCTCATCGCGGCGAGGAGATGCTCTACAAGTGTGTTCATTGCTCAAAACAGGACACAACTCTTGAATCATGGATCTCCCATGTGACGGCGCACGCATTTCGACTCTCCCATTGTATGGCCGACGGGTGTAGCGTCAAGTCACCGTCCAAGCAACTTATGATCAACCATGCCAAACGCAAACATGGCCCTAATTATGTGGGGTTAGTGCGTGAAAGCGTTGAGGTGAGTCTCCTAAACAATGAACTGTAAACCCTATGTTCGGTCAAAATTCTTGGACTAACATTTCATAACTTCGCCACTTTTTTTAACTGCGACCCTCTTGCGATTGTGTGCTGTACTTTAAGTAGAAGTTTCTCGGTATTTACTCTAGTCGGCTTATTTTAACCCATTTTTGTGTCATCGCTCACTTTTGCCTTGGCTTTCATTAGAAGAACCTCAATCAGCTCCTCATTAGTTACCTTGCCACCGTATTAATTCGATTGTAAATCCCAGGTAACGTAGATTCAGTTTTGGAATTGGTCGGTCATTTGCACAGATATTTTTTTTCTAATCAAGTGGCTCTTTTACTGATAAAGATATTCACTATCGTTTGACTAACATTTGTTAGTGGGTTTTTTCCGGATAAACTAAATTGGCTTCATCCAGTGATTCCTCGACCTGTCGAACCCGTTTTTTCCAATAAGGAGATCGATTACACCGGCGACTGTAGTTGATAACTCCTTAAGCCCGAGTAACTTGTACCTCCGTTTTAAGTCTTAGGGCCATTTTCGATCTCTTTGAGCAAGATTCACGTCCTCAGTTTTCTTTAACTCCACTTTCTCTAAATAGAAACAGAGTGGAGCCTGTTCACTTTTACCTTACTTAATTTGACATCTGAGAACCAATTTCTCGAAACCGTCGTATGCGTTTTGTTAGCAGCAACATCAACAGTTGTTTCTGGGTGCGAACATCACGTGATGTTCCCGTTAGACACGAAATCCCGTGGTAACTGGAAACTTTCCACCTCCTCCGAGGCATCATCCAGTCTATCACATTTCATTTCGTTGCAGAAACACATTTGTGTTAAGCCTTTGTGCATCCCAAATTTGCACTTTCCTCATTCATATAATACTTAAACTATTCTGAAATTTATTGATTTAGCTTCAATATTTGTTGATTAAATGTCCTCTTTTCTGTGAAACAGCCATTGGCAGTTCTGCTGTCCCTAAACATCCTAATCCCTCTGTCTAGGTATAAACTAGTCCAAATCGTTTTCCGGTAAACCCATTCACATGTCCTTCACTGTCTTATCGGCGTCGTCCATTGCCTGCCTCTTTGAGGCGAATTTTCAGCACAGTGTCCGAGCTTAATTCGCCCATTATACGAAGTCTACTGCCTACAGATCAAGGCGCACAAAATCTTTTCCTTTCACAAGTTCACACATTTAGTGTACGCTGCGTTAAATAGATGCTACCTATTCATTTTTTAAGAAGTACGCAACTTGTAACCGGACTCTGACTAAAAACACGCCACTTAGCCAACTCTGGACTGCATCACCAACATTGACTGTTGTGTATGCCGCTCGTCTGTTTATGGAAATGCTAATTTTGGGCCTCATTTATCGAATGCCTACTTTCCACAGTGCGAGTTCCCATCCTAAAGATCGCTTAAAATTTAGTCACCACAAACGCTGTGCTCAGCGAGTAAATGTTTATCAAGGATCTACTTGAGGTAAATCCTGTATTGTCTACCCTCCGTGTGCGTTCCTGTATGTGGTTAAGTGTCACCCTGTCATTTATTATACAGTTTGCCTATCATTCATCATGGTGCTCGTGTGCATTCAGGTCTTCCATTAGGTCTTTCACCATAAATTAAAGACGACCTGAAATCTCCCGGGTCTTATCAGCGGTTAGTTCCATTACCATCCCCAGGTTGGTTCAAACTGGTCCCTCGACCCACGTGCATTGCCACAGACTGTTATCTACGTGGTTGGAGAAGTATTGTACAAATTAAGCCTTTTCTGCCAACCGGTTAGCTTTTAGAGTTGGAAAAAAAATTATTTTTAATTTAAACATGCATGCATCCTGTCTCAACCGGTTGGAATCATTGCTGCAAGTGCTTGCAAAGAGGTATTGACGAAACCGTCTACAGGCCAGAGACTTCTTTCAGTGGACAAAACTGGACCACTTGGTCGGTTGGAGGCACTCATGCGCCGTTGTCAACTTGGCTTTTGTCTTAGCCATAATTATTGCCATATGAACCATAATTGATCGCCCTTTTGCACCTACATGGTTCTGACGTAACTAATGCGGGAGGTTACGGAGGGTTTGTTTCCAGAAAACAGGGCAAGGAAGTCGGGTGTGTGCCATCCACCAGCCTTCCACATGCGTGCATAGCACCTAGTGCTCTCGAGCGAATTCACTTCGATTCCCTCTTTAAGAAGAGGAATGAATTTATGGCCTTAGTCAATGTTCCATCTTAGCAGTGGATCTGAAATGCATCATTAATGAGAATTTATTCAATTCAGAGTCAGTGACCCATCTTTGAGTTCTTAACTCCCAGGCATTGTGTCAGATTAGATTTTACATGCCTAATTTTGGGCATATTTAATGCCACGCTGTAAACGTGCGGATGCTTTCTATTTGGAAGTAATGCATTCACCAAGTTGGAATTTGCGAATGCGGTAACGTGTGAGGAACGCTTCCACAGCACTTCAGTCTTTCCAAAATCTGTCATGCTTACTGTAATATCCCTCTCCTTAATCTGTTTACCTGCTGAAATGACTTCTGAAATTAATAGGTCCTCAGCATGCATGGCGTGAGTGTGAATTGATTGATTCCTTCAGTGCACCATTAACACTGCTTAAAGGCATCGGCCATGCGCCTTATCTTCGCTTCTTATACTCTGTAGCCCAAACACTTCTATCAGTTCTGTTGTTGGCCACAACATTGATTTAACACAATTATTAGAGTGTCCTTTCGAGTTTAATATCTTACGAAGTAGTTGGGCAACATATGGTCCTCTAACCACTCGACGTTAGTTCACTTCAAATTGGGCATCCATCTACAAAAGGCCTCTTTAAAGCGACGACTATGGGACTGACGACCCAACAAAACGTATACATTTAATATACCATATGGTTTTATTTGAGGTGGTTTGTGAAGTCGGATTTGGTGTTCCGCGGTCCACGTCTTGGTTTCGAATGTGCCTTCTGACTTATTTGATTTGATCATTTGATAGCTCCTGGGCCTAATTCACGTACCTCGATGGTTATATTAACTGTTATGTTGTGCCGTGCGTCTCGCAATCTTAGGCAAGTTTTCTTGAGTCATTTGGCATAGGTCGACAACCTGGTCTGTCGACTTCGTGACGATTAGCATGAATAAACACCTGTGTGCGCACATTCGCATAAATACACTGGTATGGATGGTTACACGCTAGGCTATACGGTCGATGCCTTGCATAAGTCAAGACCTTCACGTGTACGCATACTTATTCTTGCACCCGGTTCAACACCTCTAGCACTCAATTCTCTTCGTTAGTATCAACCTTGCTGCACCGTTTATGTGTGCATTTGACCTTAGGTCAACAGATCGTCCTCTCTTCCTGAGAAACGAAATTGGTTTTCATGTTTGGCAGTTTGTGTAACTCTGTTAACAAGAAAGGCCTAGAGAGTGTGTTCGTTGTAATCCAAGCATAGTCTTTTTCTAACATTGAAAGTCATTCTATTTGCTTCCCCAAACTTTTTGATCTCCGATTATTGTGGTTCTGCTTCAGTTGGAACGTGTATCTAAATAAAAAGGCTTTTCTTTAACGTAATTTGTCGTCATCACTAAATCTTCGCGCACTTTTTTAGTTAGATTTGTAAATATTTCAAGTCATTGGACACCTTATGAGTAAAATTGATCCTGCTTCCAATTCGCAATGTCGTTGTCGTAACTTCATCGCTTAGTTATCCCATCGTAGTAACTTCATATTCTCCCTTATAATCATTGTGCTTAAAACAACTCAACCAATCAGAGGCTACTTCTTTGAAAACCGATGGGCTTGCCTCCCAGACGGCGTTCGTAAGCGAACAGTCTCGACTCCCCTCCTGCGACCTCTCCTATTTATTGTGCCTTTACTGGTCAGATTATTTGCGGACTCGATGTAATCATTTGAAGGTATTGATTGAAACACGAAGGTTACGTTCTGTACTACTTAGGGCTCTGGCGTCCAAGAAATTCTGTTGTCGACCATGCTGTATTGATTCCGCAAATGTTGATTCCTGGTCGGGACTCAGCCTTGCTTGTGGTACAATAATTCGCGGTTTTTAAGTTTCATGTTTACCTTGTGGGTACCCGGAGTTCTTAGGTATTTTATTAATTAAGGTGTCCATTTCCCACATCGGTGTATCCCTTAATTGAGAACTTATTACGTCAAATACGCCTAACCAAAACTCAACAACGTCCTTGTTGCATTTTATTCCCCTTAATTCCCACACTGGTAGTCATCATGGGCTACACTAACAACAGTGTGCTTCTGTCATAAAGTGATGATCGTGTACTCTGATCGAGACTTCCATCCGTCATTTTACTTTAGGTCTTCTTTTCCACACGTGAACATCTCAGTCACTGCCTCGCGTTGGTATCTTTGATTTCTTAACGTGGCAGAAATCTGGCCTACAGATTTCGACAATGGTATTTTCGGTTTTATTGAAACTGCTAAATACCCAACCATGTACACCAATTTATTCTACATTTAGCATCCTAACCAACTTTTTGAAGCAATTGCAAGTTTATGCAGTAAACCTGCAAACGTTCATTGGCAATGCGCTATACTTTTGCGATTAAAATTGTTAACCAGGCTTTGTCTATAACTTTTATTAGAAGGTCAGTATTGTGTTTGAAAACTGTTTCCACAACACACAGTATCATCTATTTCTTTTCCTCGCCTTGTCTGAAATGTTAATTTCATTTTGCACTCATCCTGAATGACTTCTCTCTTGGAGCTTAATCAAGCTCGCCATTCTAGCTAACGTACATGATTCAAAATCCCTCTGAATTTTCCGTCACTGCAACATCTTTACTGTTTATTGTCCTTTGATCGTTGTTCAACGTAACTACCTAGCTTCCAGTACTTCCTGGTGAAACCACGTAGGTGTTTATCATGGAGGGCTTTTCAGGTGTCAATATTTAAACAATCTTCAGGCATGATTCCTGAATATCGATTCTATCTTGAACAGTTATTGGTTCGGAGATCTCGGGAATTTTTACCTCTGCTGTTGGATTTCCAGCCGCCGTATTTTCCGCACTGACTACTGATATTTCTGTACTCTGCTAATGGAGATCGGTGATGAGTAACTTAAAACCATGTACAGTAGCATTATATTTTGAGATTTTTAATTTTTTTTAACCAGTTCATCTGCAGCCACAACGGCATCGTGCCCCTTTTCTTGCGCGCTTTCCTATTTGGAAGTCCTACGTCAGCGCAGCCTCCAAGTCCGCCCAAGACCCCACCTGCCCTGCCTCCTGTTCCATTGAAGTCCTCTACCAGTCTACCCACTGTTGGCTTGAGGAACGGCCAACCCTGTACACCCCTGTGTCTTCGATGTCCCAAATGCCAGATGGCAACAGCGAGCTGGTCGCGATTTCACAACCACGTAACCCTCTGTGATGAGGGTGCGTTTGCTTTTAATCTCTATTGGTGTCCCCGCTGCTCCACTGTCTCAACTGAAAAAAGCCTTGTCGAGGAGCATGTACAGACAGCACATGATATAACGGTGAGTTCTAACTAAACTGCCTTTCCGCTGGTGCTGTTATGCCATCTGTCATGTGGCTCACGCCTCGGTCAAGAGTCATGTGGCTATTGCGAAATGATAGGCACTCAATGCTAACCTGTTGCCACAAGCTCATGGTGATTGCACGCCTGAAGGTGAAGGCCAATATAGCTTTACACATTGCTCTATTATAGTTGTTAACTTTCAATAATTGGATTCTTTACTAGCTTCTTGTTTAATCCTCATCCAGTTGGTACAATAACTGAAGCCATCATACTTGTTTTGACTGTTGTTGTGAGTTGTTGTGGCTTGTTGTGAGGCACTGATCTGTGGGCGCGGTGTATCGCCGTATAAATAAATATGTTTATTTTTGCAAATCATAACTAGCGCCGGCATATCACTTTACTGATAATTGACCATCATATTTAACATTGCCATACCATATCGCCCAACCACCAACTATGTTTTATTGTGCTGCTTACTTAAGTCCGCTTACCCTGCAGTACAGGCGCCTTATTTTCTGGAGCTACCCGACGAAGGGCAATTCCACTTCTTTTTGTCTTCGCATCCATTTGGTTGTCGTTAATCACTCAGTGACAATGTACGCATACACTAACACTTGACTCTGCTAGTGCAAAAGTTAACCTTTGTTCCACTTTGCAATATTCATTGCTTGTGACTGTCTCGAAACTATCGTCCCGATTTCGGGCCACTAATAGAAATCGGATCACATGGTTGTTCGGACCTTTTCGAAATCGGTCAGAAAGTTTCCATCTCCATTCTGATGTGTCTAAGTTGCTACACGATCTCAGATACGTGCGGGTTGCTGTGTCAGCTGGATTAAGACACCAAGGCGCGTGCGTGGGAATCACCTTCGCTCAGCAGTGTGAGAGCGAACGTGGTATGCTGTCTCACCTCGGCAGTTTTGACTGCACAAATTCTCCCGAAAAAGCTTGCGTCCTGAAGTGTTTCGTTCATATTCGTCTCCGTCATCGCCATTTGTCTTCTCGTGGTCACGCACAATCCAGTCCGCCTGTTAATGAACGCCTAGCCAGTGATTTGTCTTTTCAGCTGTAGAATATCCCACAACACCAGCTCCATGAGCCACAGGTGCCAATTCGAATGCTACGACAACGACGGCGGTGGTTTTCGCATTTGGCTCACGCAGTATCCTTGGTTTTGCGCGTACGCGCGTTAGCAGCCCACTTCAGCGCCATTGACGCGCTCGTGTAGCATGGCGTGCACACGCACGGCGACGTGATTCCGGTGAAGTGAATGCATTGATCGACGACAGCGTACTGCTCAAGTGCCCAACACCAGGCCCGTTGTTGTCAAAAAGCAGTTATCCAGACAGTTTCGCCCAAATTGTAATTATCCTGGGTTAGCCCTTTTGTCATTTTTTCTTCCAGACTTCCTACTTAAATTTGCGTCGGGTGGGTTTCAAGTTACGAGTGCTGATGGGTCTATATGGGGATTTGACGGTCCATGACGGCAGCTCATATCCTTGTGTTGTTACTATATAGGCTCTGATCGTGGAACTCCAGTGATCAAGTTTGACTTGTTTTTATTGAACTCGAATGCCGCTTTTGTTAACCATGTTTGAAAAATTCGCGATGTTTGGATCCAGAAGTCGCGTGATTTACTCGGCTTAGCTTTGATCCAGACAAGTTATCGATGTAACAAGTTCCTAAATAGGTCACACAAACCTCTCGAGGTGATGATTCCTCAATAGGACTCAACTGTTGTGAGTGCGGTGGTGGCGAAAACTTGCTTGCATTTTTCGAACTAAGGGTTGACCACGTTTTACGAACTTATCTACGAATGGAACACCACCGGTATTTTGTGGGTGGTTGGTAAACCTAATCTCGTCAGTGCAGCCATGGATCTGTTAGTTCATTTATCTGTGTTCCTAGCCGGGCTTCCATCACGGTCAGGTTTTTTTTACCTCATTTGCGCAACCGAAAACCTCGACGAACCCTTAAAGAGGATTCTCTGGCAATAGTGGCACAAATCTAGCTAGGTATTATCCTATACTTTCCAAGCTCCTCACCAGTTTCGAAAGCCCATGACAATTATTTCACTCAGGTTTATTTTACAGGAATTGTGCTTTGCATTACTGTCGCGCCTTGCTTAGCACAGCATAGGCTAATATTCACAAAACACGAAATTGCCACTCTTAGTCCTGAAACTGCTTCAAAGTTAGGTACTGATGACTCCTAAACCGCTTTGGATCGGTTGAAGAGTGTGCCGTGGTGTGGGACAGTGGCAGATGGTGGTTCATATATGGTGCATCGCGACTAGCACTAGTGCGCATTTGTGATGAGTCGTCTTCCTCGTTCACTCGTCATTTTTGTGGCTTGGTGCGCACGTGCGTTTACGACCCATCACCTCAACTCGCCTCCTGCGTTCGCGTGGGTGAGTGTGCGCTTAATTCGACTAACTCCAAGTCGTGCATCGTTTAATGTAGGATTACCGCGATGCTGGGTTTTTATCTCTACGTGTTTTGTGCATTGGCGTTCAACTCGAGATTCAATGTGGACCCGTGATATATCATTATCGCCATTAGACGGTCTAGCACGCCCGTCACCACCCCGTGTAGCGAGTTTATACGTCTGCGTTTTGCTCGTAATAGACGCGTAACCGTTTCTCAGCTGTTGTTACTTGCATTGGTCCTATTAGAGTATTCTTTATCAGTTGGCTATTTGTCCCGCACCAGTTGCTTCCTCCTGGCTAAAAAATACCGTCCAGTTGGGCACTGAAGGGCTTGCTGCTGAATCGTACGTAGTCATGATCTGCCAGGCTCGCACATAAGGTGTATGGTGAATCCGCATTTCAAGCCTTGAACCGATGTGCTCCAGTATCAACGTCCAGATGTTGAATCCATTGCGTTCAACCAATTTTGCTACCCTTTGCCTTTCGCTTTAAACAACCGACTTCAACGCGCCTGTGTAGGCACGCGCACGCGTGCGCGCAAATACACAATTCCATTGAAGCGAGGGCATGCATTGATCGACGCGATGGACGTATGCGTTTTCTAGGCTAGAAGCGCTGCAGGCGACCAATGAACACGCCTACGTCTCGAAAGCCGCCAACTCGCCATTCCTTGCACGGAGAACTTGCACGCTTACGCGCGGTTGTGTGTGTGTACGTGCATTCGTGCTGGTTGTTGATTTCGACCGCGTGGTCGCCTCGTCGTTTAGTTTTATGCATTTACTTTCGCAGTTGACACTTTCTCAGACATCCAAGGTTCTTTTTCAAGGAAGTTAATAAACTTTTTCTATAGAAAAAAAGTCATTTCATTGGTCCTAGCCGTGTAGAAGGTGTGTCAGTTTTCTTTAGCTGTAGCTAAAATGACCGAGTCTATTGGCTTTAGCTTCTGTTGCCTCTGATTTCTTTCTGGAAGCCGCAGTCGTCATCCTCATCGTCTTGACGTTCGGCTTCAACCCATGCTAATGGTCTACTCACACTGCACCCTCGCTATGACGACGCTTGTCTTGTAAATTTAGAACTGGTGTAACTTAACCTAGCTACTATGGTCCCATTCCCAAATGCTCACCATCCTGTGGGCAAATAACAAGTATCCGTCTCGGTTGCATTATAAACTGTCGCCCTAAATGTCTTCTCGAAAAATGTAGGCGAGTTGCTTCTCATCGGGTAAGGGGGACAGAGCAAAAGTAGATTATCCCCATTTCTCTTTCTCCATGAATGGGTTGTATACGGCCCTGACAGGCAATGGATCGTACAAACTAGGATTGTGGTTGTGTGCCTGCCTCAAACATCAGACATCCCTCCCGTGTCTTTCTCATTCTGCTGAAGTCCCATTGCCCAGGTGGGCATTCGTGGGCGACCGCTGAAGAACACGCCTTGCACGTCCTCCGCTCTGTAGAAGGGGAAGAAGGCGCGGGCGGGACGCATTGATCGAGGACGTCGCGCGCGTGCGCGCTGAGAATGGTAGTATACGATGTCGGCGGTGTCTATCAGCCAATGGTATGTGACTGCCTGCAATATCTGTTGGGTTCCTTGAAGTCTTCATCTCTTTCCTGGGGAAGCGCGCGTGTGCGTATGCACGCACCGTACGCGTGTACGGTCGTGCGCGTGGGTGTGCCTTCTTTCAACATCATGTACGTGCGTGAACTGGCGTGTGGGCGCGCCGTCCCCGTGGTCTTTCCGTCCTGACGCCTTCTTGTGCCAGCCATTGGTAATTGGTGCGCTGAAACCCTAGGCGCCTGAACACCAACTGGTTGTGTGTGTAATCTGACCCAGGTTCTAAACGTAATTACTCTCTGTGAGTGAACTAACGCTAGAGGCTCTTCGACTTCGGATTGTTTTTATTTCATCCTCTTCCCTGAGCCACTTAGGGCGTGGCGTTTATGGTGTGAAAGCGCAAGCTTACTCAACCCACCACTAAAGCGCACTTAGTTATTTTTTCGATCGTAGTTCTCTAATCATACACTCCTACGCGTGAGTCCTTCGGTTTTCCTGTTGGATTTCCTTTGTTCTCGCAATCATTCGCTACTGTCATTCTCCAGTTGATTTTAGCTGCTTCATTTAATGACTTACTGCATAACAATGTAGCTTTTTGTGTGGTTGCTTATTGTACCGGTGATGTTTTAGCTCATGTGTGAATAGCCAGAAGCTACTTTGTCTGGTTGTGAAGGCAAGCAACACGTTTGGTTGCTGTTTAACACATAAAACAGCAGACGATCTGTTCTGCCCTGCGTTCTGTCGTCCAAGCTGACAGTCACCTCTCTTCCAGTCAAAATGACGCAACGCTCGTGATGCCGCGATGAGTCATCCGCGGCAACGCCACCACGAACACGACGTGACGTCATCACCTCCTGGACGCGCGGGGACACGGAGCGCATCCACTAAACGCTTCCACTCGCTCAAATAGGTGCAGACATCTGCCAACTTCGACTAGAAGGCTGTCTGGGCTGTCCCACATATTCCTATTGGGTTAGCATGAAATCTGAAAAGCTAGCATAGGTCCACAAAGACGATTGATGCTGATTTGCCTTTACTCAATTCGTATTTTGAAGTAAGGTTCTGCAAGCCATGGATTAGCTAATGATATATAAACAAAAATGTGGTCTTATTGATGTGCAGCAGTCTTCACGGAAAGTCCTTTGACATCCAGAATTTACTAAACGTTAATTCGGCTTTCCGCCAAAAGTCACTTCCAGGCGCTTTTGGACCAGACAACAGTGCGTAATGATCTTTCCCCTCACGATCAATCTAGAGATGGAGGTGTCCCATAATTCCTTTGCTTATTTTTATTCAAGTGAGCCCACACGTTCTGGCTCACTTGAAAACCTCCACCATTTCCACGTTGCTGTTTCAGCATTTCAAGCGATGGCCGAAGATGATGATCTTCTTTCTCTCCTCCCCTCATCCTAACGAATGTGATACCATCGTCTCCCTCTTTTCTCCTTTCCCCTTCCTTCCACCCACCACCACTCATTCAGTGGTTTGTGCAAGATAAGGGGAGAGTGTTAGGTTTCAACGCTCGCAGGTTTTGAGATTAGCGGACCTTTCCGATTCAGATTGTCGTTTTTAGTAACGCAAAACCGTGTTCGCTGCTTCATTCTAACAAACACATGCTTGAATCTGTAGGTTTTATCTGTATTTCTGTAATGATCGTCAACTACAAAGTTCGATTTGATCAGAGTATTGTGTACACTTGTGGAAAGGCTATGTGCAAATGATGCACCACATTGAGTGGTGACGGGCCCCCACTATGCTCCTATTTATCCTGCAGACTGCATTAGCTTGGGAGGTCTCCCTTTTGGTGTTGTTTTTATGTCCCACAGATTTTCAAGTCGCATTTCAATCGTCAAATGCTGCATATTTGCTGCATAATTATCAGATTTGCAAATATATTTCGTAACTCTTGTTTTTATTCTGCGGTATCGAAATCCAGGTACTGGGAGTCTGGAAAAGACCTTTAGCATTCATAACATGATTTGACCGCCACGCACTCTATTACGTCTATTTGGCGTCCTTGTTTTTTTCAGGTCCCAGTTATACACGAGAAATTCGAGCAGGCTTCTACAACTCTTGAGGATTCGGCTGCTTGTGAGAAGCCTTCGGAAGCCGTTGCTGCTACTGTCGATATTTTAGATCCACTTGTACCTCCAACTACAACACCCGCCAATGTCTTTTCGGCTTTCTCCAACCTCCTTCCTCCACCACCCCCTCCAATACAATCCGACACTTCCACTACTATTTCTCCGTTAGTCAAGACGGTAATTTCCAGCCCGAAATCCTCTGGTCCGGACAACCCCATTTTCGCTGGCAATCCCTTTCTTAATCCCACAAACTTTACTGCAGTTGCCGCCATGGCCGCAGCTCTTACTGGTCTTGCTATGAACAACCCACAACCCCCACTAGCTCCTCCGGTCGATGATACAAACGATGATGAAGTTGGGGAAACCGGAACAGATACTGAGGCTCATTCTAACGGTATCGACGAGGCCCCAAACACTCCAGCTTCTTCTACGAATACCGCTGATGAATCCACTCGTACTGGACGAACGGGTGAAGAGGAGCTAGTCTCGTTTCCGTTTGATGAAACTCAATTTCGCAAAGAGATGGGTACCCAACTTTCATCGGAGGTTATTAGTCAGCTGGCTGAAAAGATGCATCGATTTTCTTCCTATGTGATTAAAATCTTGGGGAAGGAGAACCACCGTCGCGTTCCACAGTGCCCTGAGTGTGATCGGGTTTTTTCATACGGGCTGCCAGATTTCAAGCGGCACTTGTTAGCTATCCATTTAGGAGCACCAAGGGAGCACCTAAAGGACCTCTTAAGGTTCGTACGTTTTCCTAAAATGGAGGTTGCCCTCTCGGATAAGCAGGAGCAGGCGGCGATGCGACAGATGCGTCCGAAAGAGATTGAACCCGGCGTGCGGAAAATTCCTCTTCCTTATTCCATTACAATTCTACGACGGCTGACTGAAGGTCTTGCCGAGAACATCCGCGATTACATTGCCACGAAGATGCGTACATACAGCCAAATGTCGGCCATTTATGAGCTCAAGGGGGGCCTCAAGCGATATAGGTGTGGCCATTGTTCATATTCCTCACCTCACGCTCTAGCGGACGTTAGAAAACACATATTGGGCTCTCATTGTGGGATTTCTACTAAACACTTTCGATTCTGCTTGCAGGCTTCCCGTCTCGATCATGTCGACTTTTGTCTATTGTCTGACGAGAAGCTTTCCCGATTAGCTCAGGAATTTCTCACTCGGCGACAGGCGGAATCAGCAGAGAGTGAAGCTAGCAGTAGCGGAACCAGTATCAAGCGGCCTCTGAGTCGCACACCGTCTCCAGAAGCTTCCACAGCCAATTCGCTAGGACCGGACGAGAATGGAGTTTCGCGATTCACAACAGTGATCCCAGGCTCTAAAAACCCCGTGAAGGTCCGTATTAGGGGTCCTGTTCCTCCCGGAGACAATGCAACTTCTCCCCCTTCTAACTCCTTAATGAGTACCCCTAATTTATCCAACAGCGCATTGCTTGAACTTTCAGATCTTCCCAAAATACCGGGACTGGAAGGCGCCAACCAGATTTTGGATCTTCCCTTACCATATTCCGAATCCGTGCTACGCCAATTACTGGAAAATGCGGGCGCTCTTCCACACCAAATAGAAGAAATGTGCACCAAAATGCAGGTTTACAGTTCCAACACAATGACCCGCATTTGTCAGGGTGATCGGACGCTGGCTTTTCGATGTTCATGTGGCCGTCTTTTTGTCACCACACGTCAACCTGATAGTAAAATGCGCGCGGCTACCTTAGCGGACAGCCGACGTCACGTAATGGGTGTACACGCGCGAATTCCACATGAGTACATCACAATCTGTTGTCAGGCCTCACGCATCAGCCGAGAAAACGGTTTCCAACTTTATCCTGATGAGATGCTCCATCGACTTGCTATGGATCGACCCATTAAACTCAACAGTCCCGACTCACTTTCCACAGCTCATGTACATCGCTCTCCCTCCAAAAGCAGTATTTCAAAATTGGGATCTCTCCCTCCTTTGCGACCACTGGCGGATCTCTCTGGAGAAAACTCCGAGGATGAGAAGCCTATAATTAACAGCCGACTAAGCCTTCCTGCTGCATTCCATCCATTATCTGATTCAGCTTCCAACGGAGGTGGTGGAGGTGTCGATGAAATCGATGAAAGTGTTGATCCTGAACCGATAGACACATCGGCTGTTCTTGCCTGTCTCAATGAGCAATCACCAAAGGAGATTGAGCGGATCATAGATCTGCCGTATTCCAAGACCGCTCTGCAAGTTCTTGTTCGGGGTTACTGTCCACCTAGTTACTTTGGTATACTCCTTAACAAGATGCAGGTGTACACAGCATATAAAGTGTTTGTCACACGTCGTAGAGGTAGACGGTTCTTCTGTTGTTCTGGGTGCAACTCAGTCTCCCCTCATGGAATGGGTGATATCAGAAAGCATATTCTCGGCGTGCATGCGAAGGTCCCGGAACGTTATAAGGCTGCTGCAATGCATTGTTCGCGCCTTAGTCGGGAAGACAATAGCCTTTTGGCTGACCGAAGTCTGCTTCAGTTGGCGAAAATGAAGTGGAAAGGCACTGTTATTAAGCCCCTTGCGGAGATCAGCATTGCAGGAGGCTTCAATGGTCCATCGATTAAGACTGAAGATTTATCCACCGCCACCCCGATCTCGCGTCATCTACGAAACTCTGTGAATCGAGTTCCTGAGGACACCCCGATGGTGGTCATTTCAGCGACGCCATTCGCCTCCGGGGAACTTTTTTCCTGCTCTGCTTGCACTACTGCGTCAACGGACTGTGCGGCAATGCGTTCGCACGTTGCAAGGGAACACCTAGGTGCGCGGGCCTATGAATGCCCACAATGTTCTGAAATATTCAATCTCTCTGCCGACCTCATAAACCATTGCACAACCGCCCACCTTGAATGCACCCCTGTTATCCCCCCACTTGTCCTGCCGCCCTCCTATCGCGAGGTCATGTCTTCGGTGAGTTGGATGTTCGTTAAGCCCCACGCAATCACATATAAACTTAGGAAACGAGGCTACCATGGTTATGCGATTAAGTGTCTCAATTCGCTTAATCCAGCAAGTTCTATCGTTGCTGCACAAAGCTTGAGCAGGAATTTTGAAGTTTTTGTTTACATTATGTCGGTGCTCAATCTAGTGCTGTCTTAAGATTGATCAACTCGACCTTTAACTTTTAGAACCAACTTTGCCGATGGCGAAAGGTTTGCCCACAATGGATGCTTAGCTTAGAAGTGCAAATTCTAACCTATTTTGTATAATTAGCACAATTGACCATGGAGATGTCCCGCCTTTAGCGTACGTCAAACGGGAAACGGGATAGTCAAAATGAAAGGTTGCTTGAGTTAACAAACGGCAGTTTAATCGGTGTACGCGGGCTCAACGTGCAATAAAAGTTCACAGTCTCACCGGGTTCAGGAAAGATTTTATCGTCGCAATTACCCAAGACCATTTTTCCTGTTCCATTGTAGGTGGTGGTCAGTCATGAAGACGAACCTCTTTCCCCTACGGTTGCAGCCAACAAGGAAACCGTTGCGATGGAAGACGATGAGATGGGCAAACTCTGGGATTGCCTCACTAACAGCAACACGGACGTCTCTCCATTCCCCTCCCCTCCCGTTGCCTCGAACGGGGTCGTGACTTCGTCCCCCGCCGTCTTTCCAACCCCGCTCCCCGTGGGCAGTGAGCAAAACGAGAGCAAACCGGCGTCTAACGGGGTCGGGTCGAGTCGAAGAAAACCATGTAAAGCGAACCTTGTTCAATTTAAGCAACCAAAGACATCTGTTGAGGGTGGTGCAGAGGAGGCGATTCCGCAGTACTACTCCAGCGACAACGGCGAGGCTGTTAGTATCACCAAAAGGGCTCGACTGGAAGGAGTTGTGGAGACAGTCGACTTTTAGTAATCGTTACCCTGCGCATTTGTTGTGTATACAGTACTTTTCGCTCTTTTGGCCACCCGCTGGGTTACAATCATCATGCTCTCCCAAACGGCGTATTTTATTTGTTCGAACTATTAATACTCTGTTCTCCTTCTCTGACTGTATTAAAAGAAGCACGTTTCCGCATTTTGAGATAAGCGTTTTTTCTTTTTGTTTCAATAGACTTGATTTGTTGAGGTCTTCTATGGGTCAATGATCTCGCGGTGTTTTTGTTCATTCGACAAATATTGGTAGCCGCTTCGCCCAAACCGAAAAATCCAGTGTAAAAAGTCTGCTGTTTAAAGTTAAGTTCACCGTCAGCAAATTGCGATACTGTCTTCATAACACTCGACATCTGAAACCATGAGAACTTAAAGTTTCGCAACTTGTTTCTGTATTCCATATTTGGATATAGGTCTAGGACAACTAACGATCTACGTTGCACTAAAACTATCTTAATTATATTCTTACTTTTCTAATAGGGCGAAGCCACAGTGCCCAGTGAAACCCCGACCTGTTTTTAAAGTTTTTGATTAGTAAGGAGAGAGTTTTGATGCATACGTCATTCGCCGGAATTCCACTAGACGACTTGTCAAAAACTAAGCGTCTTCTGTTTCACTATTGAATGTACCCCTCTCCGAAACTTTTTGCCAGCTAACGAAGATGCGTGGGTGACAACGGAGAACCGTATTCGCACCAAAGACTTATCTGGCGTTTGATCACTTCATAGTTTTTACTATAAAATTACACGCGCATGTGCTTTCATGGTTCTCAAATCTGTAAAGTTACAACTCCCTCTCGTATGGGAGAGGAAAACTCCTAGAATCGCTGATCCTTAACCGATGCACAAGCCTCCTTGGGAAACAATTTTGTAGTGTTGTAAATATCCGTGTCTCATAGTGGGCTTTTTGCAGCAATGGTACTCAGGAAAATAGCATCCCTTTAGGCCGGCGCTTATAGGAGGGCCCCGTGGTCAAAACTGCTCTCTAGAGTAACTAAGCGGCCGTTACCACTGCTCTCACATGTATCTGTGAGGGTCGATCAGTGTCTGTCGGAGTCGTGACAAAATTTCGAATGATGCGAGTTACACGTGCATACATGTTGATTCAACTTACATCAACGACTCCAATTATAACGCATGTTTCACCATTGTGTAGGATGGTGCTCAAGGCTGAATACACTGCCATCACGTGTTTTGTGTCGAAGTCGATCATTCCACATCATTTAAAAGTGTAATTGTAAATATACCATTGCATTACCGAAAACCGGTTCCAGTGAACATTTTTTCATGCATTGATTCTTTGTAAGTTGTGCTTGAATATACTCACCGGTTTGAACTGAATAAATCGTACAACTCTTCTCTGCCCTCGTTACTTGCCTCTTTGCTATAACCGTAGGTTAGTACAAGGCACTTAGTGAAAAACTGATGGCAGAGAGTTATTTCATCTACGTTATCCATTAGCGTGGACACGAGACCGTAATGCCTTGTTCTTAATCATTTGGGTTTCCAGAGCAAAATACACTGTTTCACATTTATTCTGCTCATGTTCACTTAAATTCAGTAAAGCTGATTTGGAGGTCTAACGACTATTGGAAATTCAAGAGCTGCATCCACCAGGTCCAATGGTCTTCTCTAAACAAGTGTTGATTGGACTTTGTCTCACTGCTTGAAATTCTCAAGGGCACATGAGTCATCACCTGTTTGCAGATCGACATGCGAGAGATGCCAGATTGAAAATCGCTCATAATTTTTGTAATAACGACGTGTTTTCTAACAAAAAACTTCGGAATTTCGAGGCACTTTGTAAGAGACCTAAAAGCATTCTCAGTTAATTTCGACCTCTTCAATGGGAGCATTTAGAAATTCTGACGCATCGCTTTAAAGAATTTTAACTGCATAGTAAAAAAATTAGTTCACTGAAATTTAACAGAGTGCATAACTTTTAAATTTACAATTATCAGCTTACTCCCCAACTAGATGCCACCAGGCTGTGGTCATCAGTCACTCCTGTACCAAGTTCGGCCGTGTCATATATCAAAATTTACCCTGAGGAAAGCCTTCATTATTTCGCATGCTTTGGTGTCCTCGTGGATGCACGTCTTATCAGTACAAAAGTTCCATTTCTGTTGTGACCCTAGTTGCTAGTATCTGTATTCTATTACTAACCTGATTCTGGAGTCTAATGCATTTTGGGTATGGGAGAGATGCTATGTACCCTTAACTGTGCTCCCGGTTATGATGGTTCAAAAGACTCACAAATGTCAACTAAGAAGGCTTCGTGCAACGGACAATACTATCGCAACATTTTGTTAACCAGTCACTGGCAGTTTTGTGAAGATAATTGGCAGTTTTTCTTCTAAATCGTCCTGAGCCCCATCTGTAATACTGTGTTCGACAAGTGTCTTCATTACCTCGATTTGGGCGACGTCGTTTCTCCGAGTTTTCAAAGAATTTGAAAGCATGACGTCATCGTTATATTTGTGGCAATCAGCACCGTTAAAGAGTACGAAAGTGGTGCCAAGTCATCATTCAATTCCCCGAATTTTCCTGTCCTTATAGTTACTTCTTACCAAATAAGAAAAAAATACTTCTTATCCGGACGATTGACCTGTTGGTTTTTAGTATTTGCGCAAATAGTTGAAAAACAGGGATTTCCTTTTTAAAGTAGACAGATACTTCTACAGTCCCATAAAATGCAATTCAAATCTCAAATAATTGACTATATGTAGGTCTTATTCCATTTACCATAATACAATGGCTTTAATGTGATGTGGTAAAAAGTCATCATGTTTCACTAGTAGAAACCCAAATAGCTTTAAGCATTGATGTCACTTTCAATGTATGTTACAGTTTACGACGCCAACATTTTGTGGCTTCGATTAGTGTCTCGTTATTTCGTTAAGGAATTTCGAGGTTTTCTGATCTAGGACCTTGTGGTTACCAATGGTCCAAAAAACAAGTATTAAATTCATGAAACTTGCAAGCCCACTTGAATTTTAATGCTCTATTCCATAAATTTTCTATTTAAATGCCAAACGAAGTGTCCTTTTGATAAGCCAACGTAAAACTGGAGCCATGAAACAGTATTTGGTGTCTTCAGCAAATCGTGCCACGCTTTCATAATGTGAAAGTTTCAACACACGCACCATGGGAATCGCTTGCCCCTGTCAGGACTTGTATTGAGTTACTTCCCAGTTGTAATTTTATTAGTATGTTCCATACACTCGGTGCTCCGAACCTCTGCCGATCATGCGTGAATTGTCAACGATTCTGTGCCACCTAGGTGGAGATGTGTGTATGTGCATGCCTATGCAAATCTCTGCATTTTGGCGAGTCACTAACCGCGTGATCTGTTTAACGCTAGGGAGTGGTGAAGCTCCAATTTAGAATTTAGGGACGTCAAGGTGGAAATAATGCTTTCTTGTGGGATTCACATCGTTCATGCATAACATGACAGAGGGTAAACCTTGAATATTACAGCAAGATGAGCAATAAACTACAAGGAAGGTGTCAATGAAAGTCAGGTTTGGTCAAAGCAGAAAATGGTACACTCATCCTTAATTACTCTACTCAACCTGGGGTAAGACGTTTCTGCAAAAGTAGGCAACATCAGTAGATATTGCAAAATAAGTGAAAAATAATGGTAATAAGGTTTCACAGACCTCGTAGCTATACTGAGTGGTGATAATAATAATACATAGGGATTGGTTTTCAAAATGTCTATCACAAGACTTTACACGGATTGAGCAGCCAGCCCGTCGTAACTGGATGGTACTATCAGTGTAGATATTAAAAAATTTGTCATTTCTTACACATATTACCAAGGCACTATTTGTGGAGTCAAATCTAACATTGTGTTACCATAGTTCCTCTAAATCCAAAGTGCACAAACGAAATCTTTGTTATGCTTTCACCTGATGCTGTGGCTGTGACTTAAGAGCACAACCACAGTGACTGAGACGAAGTCCACACTTGACTAAAGTGAAATGGGATAACTGACAACTGGTAAAGCAGGTGTAATCCTTCCTGAGTTTCTATCGGTTTACCTACGAGTTTAACTTAGTTACGTTAATACTATGCCTTTAAAAAATTGGAAAGACGTTTGAAAAGTCGTGAATCCTTTGAATCTCTGACAACCGAATATTTAGGAGGCTTTAAAAATGGGCTTTTCAATCTTGACTTTCAGCTCCTTTTACAAATTGCATTGAAAATGGGCACCAGACGAGGAGTTCTATTTTTACCTATTGGAATCCCAGAAGATGTGTAAGAAACTATGAACAAGATAGCAATACTGTATCATTATTATTCAGTCCTGTCTCAGTGTTTCTCCATTATCCCTCAATTAACATTGTTTTTTTTGAGGCCTTACATGATAAGATTTTCACAGTCCTTGCAACCATACCATGGGCGGAAGAGTGGCTTAGGCACAAGCTTGCTGCTCTTCAGCAACAGCGAATCAAACTACTGATGCCTCAGCACACCGTCATGGCGTAATGCGTCAATAGAAACGTTTGCATCTGGAACACGCGTTCCCACAGGTTGGCTTACGAATGGAATCTGTTTTGGCAGACGCACATGAAGCAGTCTTTAATACATTTCTCAAGGAGTTTCTATTGTGCTCTCAATTTTCTCATCCACGGGTAAATTATACATATTTAAAAGGAAATGATCAGCAACGAAGTTGGCGAACCAAGCCTTCATTTTCAATGCCTCTGACATGCTTTTTACTTTATGACTTCCACAGACATTGGCATAGCTATGATGCCGTAGGACACATCAAAGTATTGATTAGGTGGGCTGGAAAAGTAATTCAACGGCCCACGTGAATGTTAATCGATCACAGACCCGCCTCTCTTAAACAAGCGCATGCTCACTTTCGACGAGTGCACAAGCATCCAGTCGAATTCTAAACATCTCAAGAAAAACTAAATGCAGCTGACTAATCACAATGTTGTGGGATCTGCCAGTCAAAACAGATTTA